TTTGTGATCAATATATCCACGTGTGAATGCTCCACCACGCGCAAATGCTCCTCCACGTGTAAGCATACCATTACCACGTGTATGCACACCATTTTTGTAACGACACGTGTGAATATACCAAAAACCACGTTCAAATATGCTTTTCCCCACTCTATCGACAAGTAGACCGACCAATGAAACGCCGCATTGCAAGTCAGACACGATCGGGCAAAACGTAGAAGTGCCACAAGTGTAACGCAACAGACCACAACAGCGCAACATGAACCAAACACAGTACAAGTGAGGAGCACACAGTACCGACCATCTCCTTCCGGCTCATCGTACACTGACTTCCAACGAGTAGCAGTGTTCAACCCAGTCAATGTTGTTAATATTATGCACGCAGCCAACGCAGATGAACAAGTAGACGAGATGCAATAGTACAACAGTTGTACTATTGCATGGACCTTCGCTTCCTTCGTCCAACCTCCAACATCTGCGAGAGATTTTTTTCGGTTGTGAAGCATGCCTTGTCGGACAACCGCAGTCGAATTTTGCCAAAAAATATTGAGGCTCAAATGTTTCTGCATTTTAATGCAGAATTCTGGACCGCTGAAGACATTCGCGATTTGACGGACGCCGAAGTTGAAGACTAAGTCACATTTTGTTTGCATGTACGAGTTGGAATAATTCGAATAATTCATTTTTCATTTCCTGTCAAAGAATAACTTATTCTTGTCCTTGTCACCTTTGAATGAATACTGAATATCATTTTGGTCATCCCTGGTACAACTGTAATGAAGGCGAAGAAATCCAATAATCAAGCAGCACAACAACAATACATTTAACGCGCATCGAATTCGATTCAACACATTCATGCATAAATGGCATTCGCGAAGGATCAACAGGTACCGGTACGGTACCGCTTACTCTGTGCACCTACCTACCTACCTTGCGTCGTGTTTTCGCGTGCATGGTGGGATTGACGTTACTGGGAATTGAACCCAGACCTCCTGCAAGCAGGCGCGCTTCCATTGCACCACAACATCGATTTCTTGAATGTCGTCGCTCTGGCCTTCCCGTCGCGCAGCACAGTCCTACATAATCCACCAGATTCGCCAGCTAAAAAGTGGTTATGACACCATACATCACATACATACCAACACAACACGAGCAAACACATTCCAATTCTGACCATGGTGATCGATTCGTTTTCGTGGCAGGTCGGCAAATCTGCGGCGGGGCGGCGGTGGACTGACTGCACAGCTACGACAGAACTCGAGCACACCGTTAAGTTAACGTTATGGAAGGATGATCGTGCTCACCGATGTTCCAGCTTGTGCTTGCCTGCGTTTCTGGCGGCGGCATCGGCTGTGGAAATTCTGGAATGGCAACGGAAAAGACTTCGTAAATTTTTTAACCAAGTATTTTGCTCAAGTATTTTTAGCCGATGAAAACTATTACTTGCACGATTTGGAATAAAAATATTTCCACAAAGTTCAACTTGGACGATCATGAGAAATTTTGGGTTTGAAAAACCGAGATGCCCCGAAATAAAGCACATGGGTATTTCTCAGGATAGTCCATCCCTGTCCGATATTTCTCAAGATCGTCCATCGAGAAATATTATTATTCCAAAGGAGGGAAAGCAATTCCATTGGTCAAAAGTAAATCGAGTCAAAGAGTAAAACCACTCGAACTCATTTCACGTTTTGCGGCCGACCACAGACTTTTGGGCAGGCGACAGTTGCGCACAGCCGTCCTGGTCCGACGATGCGACACCGGACACTTGAGGTAGCGATTGCCATTCACTCTACCTGTATGCCAGGCTCATCCTCTTGCCTGTGCGCAACTGTCGCCTGCCCAAAAGTCTGTGGTCGGCCGCAAAACGTGAAATGAGTTCGAGTGGTTTTACTCTTTGACTCGATTTACTTTTGACCAATGGAATTGCTTTCCCTCCTTTGGAATAATAATATTTCTCGATGGACGATCTTGAGAAATATCGGACAGGGATGGACGATCCTGAGAAATACCCTAAAGCACATACCGGATATTTCCACCGGATAAAATTCCTGTTGTTTTCATGTGGGTTTTTCCCCAAAAGACCCTAACGTTAACGTAAATAAAACTAGTTGCCGCACCAGAACGCCCCCAAACTCGCGAACGTGGCACAGGTCGGCTTGGTGTATGCAGGGGGGAAGCAGTGGTTCAGCGTAGGGTAGAAGCAGGTAGAGCAGCCATTGCACTTGGACGGCGAGGCAGTCGTAGGGGTGACTGTGGGGGCCACAGTAGGTACTTCGGCAGTGGTGATAGGAGCCATGGTTGGGGTCGGGTTAATCGGGACCGCAGTAGGGGTCGTGGAACAGGCAGAATGGGTGACTGTGGGGGCCACTGTAGGTACTTCGGCAGTAGTGATAGGAGCCATGGTTGGGGTCGTGGTAATAGGTACTTCGGCAGTGGTGATAGGAGCCATGGTTGGGGTCGTGGTAATCGGGACCGCAGTAGGGGTCATGGGGCTGGCAGAATGGTTGGTGGTATTAGAGCCAGTGGCGGGGGACGTGGTGATGAAGGGTTCAATGAAGTCGCGGGCGATCGAGATGCGGCTGTACACGCCAGGATTGCCCAGGTTGCCACAGCCGACGCCCCAGCTGACCACACCCACCAACTGGACAGACCCGTTCGATTCCACCGTCAACGGTCCACCAGAGTCGCCTTGGCACGAATCTTCGCCCAACTTGCCGCCCGCACACAGCATGGCTTCGTTCACGGTGTGTGGGGCCAACACCTTTGCACATTGG